AGAAACACCCTCCAGTTGGGAAGTCCGGCAGAACAGTTTTCATAGGAACAGCTGTGGAGATGTCCAGCACAGCCTGGAACTTCCTCCTCCTCTAGGCTGCGAGGTTGAGGCTTGTCACCTTTCAGGCCATAGAGGAAATTGTGGTCTCTTAAATCATGGCCTTGGGTGTAAAAGGGGGTCACAGGCCACAGACATGAACTTTGCTTTCAGTTTTGCCAAAAGATCAGGCCCCTGCCCCTAGGAGAGGTTCAGAGTTATGTCCAGCAGTGCCTGGTGCATCTTGTAAAGAACAACCAGCCAGTGTGGCAGATCCCAAGCAAAGCACTTAATGTCCCTACAGCTTATCTGGGGGATCTGGGGACCTACAGACCAATCCAGAGCACCTCCTCCTCTTTGTGCCATTCAAACCTACAGAAATAGTATGGAGTTTGTGAATTTAATACCTCAGATATCCCCTCAAGTTCTCCATGTACTGAGGAGTACAAGGAATACCAGGAAGCTGAAGCTATTTGGTGAACTAGCAAAAGAAGTATTAATAAATTAGAAAACACACTATTAAACAATAATGCTATAGAAGTAGGCATCACAGGCTGCTTCAGAAAAATTCACATGCTCACAGAAAAATTCACAGAGTTAAGAATGACAGGTACAGGTTTTTCATTTCACTGCATCACCAGATTAGAAACCCTTTCTTTCTTTGTGTTTTGTCTGTATTCTCTTTTAATTTTTTCTGATAAAGTAATTCCCTTTATTCATCTCAGTTTAGAATACACAAGAAAAACAAGTGCAAGCAAGTATGGCAAGAGCTGCTTAACCACAGCCTCCAAAACAAAAGATGGAGTGGAAATTGCCAAAGAGGTTGGAGAACTGTCCAGCAAGATTCTCAGGGAGCTGAGTGAGGCTCTGTAGGTGCTACTAGCAGCCACAGGGAACAAAAGAAAAAGGAAACATGTAAAAAATCTAATGAATAAGCACATTTAGAGCTTTCATAAGCAAATTTAAGTTTTATTTCTCCAGATAAACCAGTAGAAGAAACAGTGCTCAATTTCTAATCAATTTTCCTATTGTACTAAGCTTCTCAACTTTTTGATTGCCATTAGAGTATTTTTTATTTATTAGATGATGATGATTATTATTATTGTTGTTGTTATTGTTATTGTTATTATTATTTCTCAGTAAGACTATAGAGGTTTAAGGCAGGAGAACTATTGGATACTTGTGTGAGAGTGTACAGGTATTTGAAGTTCATGTAGCAAAGGAGGGAAGGGACTCTAAGCACCTTTTCTGATGAAATCACTTCCACTTGGGAAATGGATCTGGGAAATGGAAGGGGATAGAAAAGCTCTGCTTTCTGCAGTAGATCTATGAAGTTGTTTAAACCAAGCTTTTGACAGCCCAAGTTCCTTATTTTTGGAGTTCCCAATATGAGAAATGAAAGATGACCTACAAAATTAACAAATACCAAGTAGTGCAGCTGAGAGTGACTGAAGCTTTGAACACATCAGGAGATATATAAATCTGAACACATTGAAAAATCTGCATCCAAGTGCTGGGAATGCCCCCCAGGCTGGAGGAGAGCTGGTGACTTTGCCTTGGTGTGCCCTTGTTTTGGATGTGTCTGAGTGACCACCACACAGTCTAAGCAGGAAAATGACACTGAAGTAAAGTCAGTAATAATTTCAAAGACTTTTGCTTCCTGGGTGACTGCACTAGACATTCCTACAGCATGAATTATATAAGGCCTTAATGCCATACAGGCTTAATAAAATAAGGTATTTAATAAATATGTAATGTTTCCCTGGTTTTTCCCTAACTGGAAGGAATACAGCTGCTACTGCCCTTGTTAGAATCAAAACCAGCTACTGTACAATAATGGAAATTTCAAGTTATTCATAATATCCTTAGGAAGTTTACAAGGGAAGTCTCTGCTAAGTCTCTGCAAGATTCTAGGGAGTGTTCCAAGGAGAAAGAGAAATCAGCTGACTTCCCAGTAATAGAGTGAATAAAGCACCATTCTAATCTCAGAGGAAGCTCTATTTATTGTTGAATCAGAGAATGGGAGAGATTTTTCAGATATTCATATCAACACTCTGCTAGTGTTCTAAAATAGAAATGTCACTATTTATTGTGGGGAGGGAATTCCCTGTAAGGTAATGGCAAGGACACAGCAGCATGTGATGGATTTTTGAACTATTTTATCTTATATACTTCAGTCAGCAATTAGGGGAAATTTTAACATATTTCATAAATGGTCTAGGTTTTCCTGTGCAAAAACCTGAAAACCAAACTACAATTCATAAATTCAGTGTAATGATCTCTTCATCTGGGGCTGCTGAAGCAGCATTTGAGGACTTGCATCATCTTTAGGGTGTTGCTAATCTTTCCAATGTTCAAACAATTTGTAGTTAAGCTACAACTCAGAAAAAGTGTTGAAAATAGTACAGTTTGTTCTGTAAAATCCTAAAAAACACCAGAAGCTTCTAATGAGGTTTCACATGGATGCATTAATTTTAAAACAAGGAAGAATTCTTTTCTAGCAAACCCCAAAGACAGAAATTCATTTGACCAATGATTCCTCTAGAGACCAAGGACTCTTTCTAGCCCTCATTTGCTCTAAAAGAAAATGATGAGCCATACAATACCTTGAATAATCACACAGCACAATTTCATATATCTTCTTAGAGAATTTCCAGAACTATTTGCATGGTACAGTGACAGTCTCCTGTGGGATTATCCCATAGAGCTTGTTAGGAAAACAGATAATCCCTACAGTGAGCCTGGGGAGATAGGCACTGGAAGGAGGGAAAACTAAGGAAACATTTATCTGATTTAAAATCAAAACACAAAACACAGGTTTCGCTTCTTTCCCAGTTATTTCATCACTCATGAAATCAGTGTAGTAAATCAGACACCTAATGCTGTGACAGGCTATTTGTCCCTTCTCCCATAGAGGTGCTGTTTTACGTGATGAGGGACACAGGACACAGTTATTTTCTGGTGCCTTAGAATGAAAATGCAATGGCTTGGACAATACAGCAGCAGTACAGAATTACTAAATTCAAAGGATCAGTTTTGCTGGCAGAACTGCCCTGAGAGGTGCAAGAGGAGCTGCTGCAGGAGCTGAGGTCAATGACCTGGCAGGCAGGAGGATGCGAGACCTCCCAGCCCTGCTGAGGCTTCTGTCAGTGACTTCTGGGAGCTGCTTCTGAGTCAGAAGCCAGATCTGTTTGAGTTACTGTTAATTCATGCCTTGGAAGCAGAAGTGCACGTTGATACAGGAAATGAAGTCAGGGTCAGCTTCAGGTATGCACAGATTTAATAATTGCATCTCATGAGAGCTCTCAAAGAGAGCTCGGTCTTTATATCTCCCTGCAGAGTGAAAGCCCACTTCAGTATTTCAGTATTGTACGCTATCATGAGCTATCCCCTCAAATTGCATGTGCCTATTCAGTTTTTTAGTGGCAGTTTACTGTACTTACTAGCACACTGTACAAGTGGTTTTAACACTATCAAGGCCAAAATATGACAATCAAAATATTAACATCATGAGTCATTAAGTACACCTTTCCTGCCTTACAATTATAATCCTACTAAGAACAGAGTATCAGTTTTTCTTACCTATTAGGTATTGCTTTGTTCCAGTAAGTCTCGTGCAAAGCTGCTTTCCAGCTGACATTTTTGAAAAGTTCACCTCAGTAGCTTCTGTACTTACTCAAGAACCTGGTTTAGTTAGATGTTTTAGAAAAGACTAGGAAGTTATTATTTTGCAGGCTTATTTAATGCTAGTAGCTAGTCAGATCTACATGTGGCTGTGGTTAATCCGATCTTCCTTGACCCTCTGCTTCATACTAAGATGTCCAGACTATTTCCCCCCCATTGTTGTGAAACCCTTACACCTATCCTGAAGTTTGGTTGTCTTGTTTCACTTCTTTATCTCTGCTGCATAATCCATGTGCATTTCAAATTAAGGCACGAAAAAAATATTTATCATGGAATCATAGAATATCCTGAGTTAGAAGTGACCCACAAGGATGATTGAGTCAAACTCTTAGCCCTGCACAGGACAGCCCAAGGTAACACCCTGAGAGCCCTGTCCAAACATTCCTGGAGCTCTGTCAGGCTTGGTGCTGTGACCACTGCCCTGGGGAGCCTGTTCAGGGCCCAACCACCCTATGCAGGAAGAACCTTTTCCTAATATCCAACCTAAATCTCCCCTGACACAACTCCAGGCCATTCGCTCGGGTCCTGTCACTGATCACCACAGAGAAGGAATCAGTGTCTGCCCGTCTCCTTCCCCTTGTGAGGATGTTGAAGACCACACTGCGGTGTTCCCTCAGCTCGTCCAGGCTGAAGGACGAGCTGAGGGAACACCGCCCTCAGGGGCCGCGTTACCTGCACTGAGCCAGGGGCACACGCACGGTGCTGTGGAGCCACCCCTGCCCTCAGAGCTGGCCCCCACACGGGCACAGGGCCGCGGGCAGCGGGGACAGCACCGGCCGGCTGGGGGTGTGCGCCCAACGTGACACGCAGCTGTGCTCTCATATTTATACACCTCCGTTCACCTGTCCCGCTACTCCATCTTCCTTTCAGGGTTTGTACTCAGCACGAGACTCCAGCGGCCCTGACCCGGCCGGTGCGTGTGGCGACCCCGCGGGGCGGACAGCTGATCGCGCTGAGGGCCGGGGGCGGCCGGCCGGGGCTCCTGGGGACCCTCACGCTGTTAAAGCCCGCTCGGCCGGGGCTCCTGCGGCCCCTCACGCTGTTATACCCCGCCCGGCCGGGGCTCCTCCCGCTGTTACAGCCCGCTCGGCCGGGGCTCCTGGGGACCCTCACGCTGTTAAAGCCCCCTCGGCCGGGGCTCCTGCGGCCCCTCACGCTGTTAAAGCCCGCCCGGCCGCTCTGGCCCCCGCCACAGGCACCCCGAGACAGGGCCGCAGGGAGGAGCGGGTGTCCCGGGGGTCACCCGGGCGGTGCCCGGTGAGGCGCAGCCGCCGCGGGCCGTGACGAGGGGCAGCCCCGCTCCAGGCGCGCGGGGCCGGCCGGAGCCCGGCCCCTTTTGCCGGGGCCAGCTGCGGGCCTGGAGCCGCGGGCCGGGATGAAGCAGGTAGGGGCGGCAGGGGCGGCAGGGGCGGCGGGCGCTGCGGTCGGGGCGCGGCTCCCCCGGGCCCTGCGCGCTGACGGGCTCCCGCCGCAGGCGCTGGTGGACGACACCGAGGATGTGTCCCTGGATTTCGGGAGCGAGGAGGAGCTGGCGCTGCGGAAAGCGCGGATCAGGTAACGGCGCGGAGGCCGCAGCATCGCGGCGCCCGGGCTCGGGCGGTCCTGGCTGTTCCGCTGTACAGAAAACTCCATTTAAACACTTCATTCCCATTTTTTACAGGGAGGGTGGTTTAGCGCTGGAACAGGCTGCCTGGGGAGACTGGGGGCCTCTGTCCGGGAAATGCTCGGGGTGGAGTGGGCGAGGCCGGGCCCTGCTGCCCGGCATCACCCGGTCACTGGAAGTGAAAACCTGGCACACCCAACATCCCAAAGCCCAAGCAAACAGTGCTTTAGTTAGAGCTGGAGCAGGGCTCAGCTTTGCTCAGCTCCAGCAAAGCCCACTGTGCAGCAGTGCTCAGGCACTGCAGTGGGCACCTGGCTGAACAGCCAGATAGCTGCAATAAAACTGCCATGATTTCCTACCATGGGATGTGATGCTGTGTGGAATTTAAAATATCTTATGCTTGTAGACATTACCTGAGAAAACCCAACCCCTTAACCCTTCTCATGTGTCAGGCTAAGCTTGGATTCCTCACTAGAGGTGTCACTCTGCAGCTCTGGCCACACAGAGGTCCTGGGTGACAGAGCTGTTCAATCAGTGGCTTTTGAAGAATCTCCAATTAAAGACTGTGAAAGGAAGAGCTTTGTGTCAAAAGGAATTAGGCATGAACTGATCAATAATGTATATAATCAGCTTTGGTTTAGATTGCTTTCTCTGCCTTGCCCCAGTTTAGTCTGGTCCATTCCAATGATAATATTTTCTGTAGGTGTAAACAAAAAATATAATAGATGTTAAACCTGACACAACGTTATCTCAGATAAAAAGCAATCATGTAGCTTTACAATATAATTACTTTTACAAGTGTCTGGTGAAGCAGTGCTTTGCACTTGGTCACTACTTGAGTCAGCCCTGACATAAGATTAACCTTCCCAGAATTGCCTTGGTTTTACACCTTAGCAACAGCACACATTTTAAATGAAGGTTTATATTTTGGTGCAGTCTTGGAGAGCACAGCTTCAAGGATTCAACTAAGCTGGGAAGTACAGCTTAGAAGTACCTTGATCACATGAGCCACAGGTTCTGAAGGAGCAGACTACATTTAGCATGAAGTGAAACCACCCTGGAATGTTTGTAGGAGGTCACAGCAGCAGCACTTTAGAGATCTTAGAGATTGCTCCTGATTCATGCTGCTCAGTAGTACAGCACAGGTAAAGTATCAGCAAACTGTGCTGTTCTGTGATCCACTTTGTGTAGACAGTGGCTTCATTAGAGACAGCTCTTCTTTCTGGCCCTCAAGACAGTATTGAAAGATGATGTAGTATTGAAAATTCATCTGCTATAGAATGCAGAAATGAAACTGCTTACACTGCTCACATGTGTTTGTTTTTGTATTTCTGAAGAATCTTGTACAAATGAGTCTGAAAGTCACCTAGGTGCTGCAAAATTTTGTTATCATATTAGAGGGCATAACAAGGCGTTCCAGTCATTTGTCTTTATTCCAATTTCATATATCTTGAACTTGGTTATAATTAGCATAGGCTATGACAAATTGTGCTTTTGTGATTCTCTGAGGTATGTGCAAAAGGGCTCCTTAAAAGCAAAAGGTTAGTGGCTACTTTCCTAAGAAATAGGGAAAAGATAAGTTCTGGAAATTGGGAAATTCTTCCTCTTTCCTAAGAAACTGGAAAAAGATTGCAGTACCAGGACTTTTTAGATCTGGAAGTAGGGAGCATATGATTGCTTCTTTTACAAATCAGCCAGGAAACAGTGATCAAGGAGAAAAGAGAGCTCATTTATTCAAAATTTGCCTCAATACATTTTGAAGAATGAGATAGGAGAAAAAAAAAAAAAGGCAGCATGTAGAGTGCTGCTATGGCACCTCTGAGCAGGCACCTGGAATGATTCTCCTGTAGTTCACTGGCACAGCTTAGGCCTGACCCAAATTTGATTCTTAACATGGGATGCAACTAAATTGATTACAGCTCCTTCCTGTCCTAACAGGCATGGTGCTCCCAAGCTGAGCAGAGGTTATTGTAACAAGGTTCATGGCAATCACTGAGCCTGCAGGCTCCAGTTGTGCATCACATGGATGTTTAGGTGCAACAGGAAAACAAGAAGGCCAAGCAAGTGGTTTCCTGTCCTTTCAGGAGCAAATTTATGCCAAGTTGAGCCATGGTAGAGTTGCCATTTCCTTTATCCTTTCCAGAGTCTCAGTAAGTGCTCAGCACTGTAATAAATGACAGCTTCTTGCTCATGGGTTTTGTTTGGTTTTTAGTAAATACCCTTCAGTGTTTGACATTGGAACAAATTCAGCATCCAAACAGTAATCCTGTTGTAATCCAGTCATATTGCTGAATCTGCCTTCCAAAATGAAACATGAATTCCCCAGAGTTACTGCCACATTTGAAGCACTGATCCATTAGAAAAGCTCAGGCAACCCTGGTGTGCTTTGGGGTTGTGATCTATGAAAGCTGCTCTGGACAGAAGGGCACCATTCCATCATTGACTCCTGCATCTTCCTGACCAAGATCAAGGCTGGAAGCAGCAAGCCCTGTCTGTTTGTCCCAGCTCACAATCCCCACTCCACCCACCTGGCTGCTTATGGCAGAAAAAGCCCCTTTGCTTAAAATGTCACATGTTCAGTTCTAAGTCAGAAGTTGTTTTTGGAAAGTTTGAAGTTCACATGGGCATGACCAGGAGTAAATATAAACTTCACCTGTGCATCATCCTTCCCTCCCCAGTCATATGTGTAGTTCTACAAACACAGTATTACCACAGGAGAAAGATAAACAACAGAACAGTTAAACAGCTATAGAGAAATAATAGAACAACAAGGATATTAAAGTCATAGAAGTTATTATCCTTATATAGCTATAATTTAAGTTTATAATAAGCAATTGTGTATATATTACATATCTCATTTTATTAAACACAATAACAGAATAACATTTAGTAGTTAAATAGTTGATTACACCCTAGGCCATACTTTTGTTAATTGGCTATTCTACTGTTAATTGGTCACAGAGGCATAGGAGCTTAAGGAGACAATTGTTGACTTAAATATCTTATTCAGATATTTTATTCTCTAAGCTTCAAGGAAGAAGTTATTTAACTGCAAGAGCCTGTAGTTAATTCTCACTTTCAACTAATTAACACAAACAATTGCACAGAGTAAAATTTTTACTTGGCATATTACCCTGAAAATTGTGCTGTGCTCATTACAGCATTCTCCAGCCCCCCACCCTACTGTGCAGGCCAGTATTCCATGTCACATACTTACTTCTTTCACTGAAATTTCTCTTTATTTTGTTACAGATAAAAATTTGTTCAATGAGCAAAATGTAAATACTATAGTGAAATTAATAAGCAGTAATTCAGAAGAACTGCTAGATTCCTAAATCATTCTGCCTAAAAGGAAGTGTTGGGTTTAGACATTAAATATGAAAGTTCATTTTGTCTTATAGCAAACAGCTACAATTTTTTTAGAGTTAATGTTTTGTTTTCAAAGCTATTCTGAAAGGCATAAGAGCTCTCTCAATTCTTTTGTGCTTTGCAATGCTGATTCATTTTATGAATCAACAAGGATTTTATGGTACTGTGTTGCACACAGCCACTAAATTCCTTCACACAGGATCAAAGAATCTGGCTCCATATTTTGTTCTGTCTTTGAGAAAGTTTTGACAGGAACACCACATTTGTATTTTAGATTTAGACTGAAGCTTGGCTGTTGAAAATACCATTGTTTGCTAATGGAGATATACACCACCACTAAAATAATAGCAGCTGCAAACCAAAATACCATTACAAACTTGAAATATCTGTGCTGTGCTACACTGTCAGCCAGCACTGGAACATTCCCTCCTGTCCCATAACCTCATTTATGCTCTGTTTTTTCTAGGCACCCACTGGCCACCTTTTTCCACCTGTTTTTCCGAGTGAGTGCTATTGTTACCTACTTGTTCTGTGACTGGTTCAGCAACAGCTTTGTTGCCTGTTTTGTCACTATTCTCCTCCTTCTATCCTTTGACTTTTGGTCTGTCAAGGTAAGATGACCCTGAATAGTAATTATCTTGGGAAGTATTTTGTCGTTAATTAAAACAAAATTGAAGTATGTATAATGACAGAAGTGACAAAAATATTGCAATCTGTTGATTTATTAAATGTCTAGCTCATTTTAATGAAGATGTTCACATGTTAGTTATTTAGCACCATGTTTTCTATGGCTGACTACTAAGGTCCACTAATATGGTAAGAAAATTGCTTTGCCATAGGTAATTTGTTTGTATGCTTCCTCTCATAAAAAAATAATTTTAAAAATTAAAGTAATACTAGCTTTCAGCAATGGATGCCCAAGAATTCAGGAACTGCAACCTTGTGCCCAGACCCCACAGGGGCTGCAGAAGTCTCCTAACAGCCCAGCTATAGCTCTGGTGCCCTGCCCTAATCCCATGCAGGCAGGTGGGTCGGGCCAGCCCAGGATCCAGAGGTTCCATGTGTTGAGCAAGGCTTTTGTTTTGTAGAAGTGAAGCACTGATGCACCTCCAGTATTCTGAAAGCTTCTGGTTCATCCAGGTGCTGAAATGTTTTCTTGGTTTGTTTCCCTGATTGTACAAGCTTATTTGCTTGTCCTTAATCTCCCATTTTCCAGTGTGTTTCTGTTATTAATATTCCTCTTTTACTGAATAAATTTGTTTATTGGGTGCTTGTCCAACAAGCACCCAATAATTGACTTGAAAAAGATACAACCTATAATTTATTGTCTAAGTAAGTGCTATTGTGCTTATTATCATATTGAAAGAGAAGAGGCCTCTAAATTTGTAACTTCACCCATTGTTAATGGCCATTGTACTCAAGCTGGAACAGCTTTTAGAAGTTATTTTTGTATTAGATAAAAGATGATTTTTGAACATGCTTGTCTTTTAAATTTTTTTCTATTTTTAACTGTTATACTGACAAGTGACTTGTGCTACTGATTAATGCAAATAATGGTTTCATCACTAGAATGTGACAGGAAGACTCTTGGTTGGTTTGCGTTGGTGGAACCAGATTGATGAAGATGGAAAAAGTCACTGGGTGTTTGAAGCAAAAAGGGTAAATATATTAATAGAAGCAGGCACAAGGCAAACAGAATCCATAGGAAATTTGTAAAGCTGATACCAAGTCAAACAAAGTAACAAATAGAACACCTTTGTAACAGTTACTTTTCATCCTGCTTCCATAGAAAACAATGTCAGTATTCAGGTGCAAGCACTGTTTGTCACATCCTGGAAGCATTCAGGGCAAAACAGGACTCACAACATTGTCAGCATATGGATCAGCAGAATAAATATTCATAGCATGGTGCTATAGGTATGAAATGTTTCTGGTAGTTTTATTTTATTTTCTAGCGAGAATATCTTGTAATAAACACATCTTTCCATAGATAATCCCAACACAGAATCCTCTTCAGGAAAGATCTATGTGGAAAGCAATGCTGAATAGTTCAGATTCAGTATTTTGAAGTTAATATTTTATTCACCTTCATGGAATATGGTGGGAAAGAGAACCTGAATAACAGAGCATTCTGATACTGCCAGTGCCCCCTAAACACACTGAGTTAGGGGGAAGGAAGCACAATAGGATGGCATTTGGCATCACTGCCAGAGTCAAGACTCGGTTTTGCTCTCACTTGCTGACATTCTCTCTGCAGCCCCACTGAGCCTGGCAGAGCAGCACCCGGGGCTGCTCACAGGGACATTCTCTGCAGCCCCCCAGCTGTGTGCCCAGCCCCGCCGGCTGTGCCGCTGCTGTCCAGTGTGCGGCACTGTAGTGCCCCTCTGCAGTGCCCTCTGCAGCGCCCTCTGCAGTGTCCCCTGCAGTGCCCTCTGCAGTGCCCCCTGCAGTGTCCCCTGCAGCGCCCTCTGCAGTGTCCCCTGCAGTGCCCTCTGCAGTGCCCCCTGCAGCGCCCTCTGCAGCGCCCTCTGCAGTGTCCCCTGCAGCGCCCTCTGCAGTGTCCCCTGCAGTGCCCTCTGCAGTGTCCCCTGCAGCGCCCTCTGCAGTGTCCCCTGCAGTGCCCTCTGCAGTGCCCTCTGCAGTGCCCCCTGCAGCGCCCTCTGCAGTGTCCCCTGCAGTGCCCTCTGCAGTGCCCTCTGCAGTGCCCCCTGCAGCGCCCTCTGCAGTGCCCTCTGCAGTGTCCCCTGCAGTGCCCTCTGCAGTGCCCTCTGCAGTGTCCCCTGCAGCGCCCTCTGCAGTGTCCCCTGCAGTGCCCTCTGCAGTGTCCCCTGCAGCGCCCTCTGCAGTGTCCCCTGCAGTGCCCTCTGCAGCGCCCTCTGCAGCGCCCTCTGCAGTGCCCTCTGCAGTGTCCCCTGCAGTGCCCTCTGCAGTGCCCTCTGCAGTGTCCCCTGCAGCGCCCTCTGCAGTGTCCCCTGCAGTGCCCTCTGCCATGCCCTCGGCCCTCTGCAGTGTCCCCTGCAGTGCCCCCTGCAGCCTTGGCTGCAGCTCTGGGGTGCCCCAAGCATGGAACACAAATTAATTCATGTGCTTCCTGTGAGACTGAGGGAGGCCTGAAGACAGAATAGAGGAAACCCTACAAGACAGAATACATGGAAAATTCAATAGACTGAAAATTATCTAAAAAGCTTTTCAGAGTAGAAGAGTCCAGAGGGTTTTCTTTACCAATTGGGATGCTTCTGTTTCGGAAGTTGGCACTAGTGGTCATCAATTGGTGTGAGGGTTGGAGTGAGATTTTGAATTTTGGAAAGATCAGAGCCTTCTGAACAATTCTCTTACTTTAAGGGTTCTTTTTGTTTTTTCTTAAGTGCGATGAGCCCTTCAGCGTAGATACAGATGTGAGTTGTGCTGACCTGAAGAAATCTGTAAGCAGGGCTTTGCAGCCTGCTCTGTAGTTTCTGCTCTCCCTGAAGAGCAGACAGAGCACAGACCATGAGGCTGCCTCTTGCAGTTACAGTGTGCTCAACTCCAGCATGACACAAGAGGCATTTTCAAAGCCATGGTTCTTAATTCATGGAATGTCAGCAGAGTTCAGAAGCAAAACCAAGTACTTATATAATAGGAAGACATAGTAGTTTATATAATAGGAAAATAAGCTTCATGCAAGATATAAATTAAGGTACAGCATCTTTTTATGAAAATGTACAGAAATGTGCACTTTTATAAGAATTCCACTCTGAACTAGAACCAACTGATAAATCCCTGTGGATGAAAATGCTGTGTACAGTAGGGCATCAGGAAGGAACTGGGCATGAACTACTGCTCTTCTTAGTTAATCTTGTTCTATGCATATGATAAGTGAAATCTTCCTCTTCTGTCAATTTGTTGTTTATTGTGGTTTTTGACTTTGTGACTAATAGTCTCAATTTTTCCTTCCAGGTGCCTACAGTAGCTGCCTCAACTGAAGCTGAAGCCCGAATCTTCTGGCTCGGTCTCATCATCTGCCCAGTGATTTGGACAATGTTTTTCTTTAGCACCTTGTTCTCCTTGAAGCTGAAATGGCTGGTGAGTCAGGGGGTACTGAAAACAATCTTGGTAGAGGGAAACCCAGATCTGTTAGCTTTGAACCAAATCTTTCAACAGCAGAAAAATTTCACCAGCAGCTTCAAAGAATCCCGAGGAGTTTTCTGCAGTCAAGGCTTGCACTCTGGAATGGATTGGTAATTTTTAGCTGCACTTCTACTGGTTATCAGCTGTCAGCTCTTTCCTCTAGAGAACCTCAAGTGGTGGGCAAAATTATGAGCTTCTGTTTAACTGTAGCAACTTACCCTGCCCCAACTTATTTCAGTCAAATAAAACTAACAGGAGAGGACAAAAAATGAACCAGTGATGTTGGTTTTCAGGGTTTTAGGTCTCCTTTAATGTACTTTTAGAAGTAAGGAATTTAGATGTCTGGTACCATTTCCTTTTGAAAGAACCAGCATCATTAGCTCATAAAACCTTGATAAACTGAGCTATAAGTAAGTATTTTATAATTGCTCTACTTGTAAGTCATCTACTTAAAAAAACCTCAACACTTTTTTTTCTAAATACGAGAGGAAATTTACCCCATATATTGCATTATATTAAGATATTTTTGTCTATGAAATCTTCACATTTTCCCCTGTAAATGTTAAATGCTTGGCTAATTGCCACGCTATTCATTCTGTCAAGTTCCCAGCCATGCTCAGTACCATTTCCTAATTCAGTCTGAAAAGATAAAAAGCACCTCTGACATGTGCAGCTACATAACCAGTAACAGTCAAAACTGCATATTCATTATTCAATTAAACAGGAAATTCAGCTATGGGCATGAATCAATTGCAAATCATTACCTGCTTTCTGGTGCCCCTAAACAAGCAATAGTTAAAATTAAACCAGCACTCTTTGTTCATGGCTCCACCTTTATTTTTGAAAAGCAGAGATTGTTTGCTAAGCCAAGAGCTGCCTGGAGACAGAACTCTAACTGGCACAGGAGGCAGGTTGCCCAGGTGCTTGTAAAAGGCAAATGACTCAAACAAAAATAAAATCACTTCTGGGAAACTGGTTCTGAAGGCTAAGAGAAACATTTTTATAAATTACTGCATTAGTCAGATTGGTTCCACCTGCTGCTAAACCTGAAGTATCACAAAAGGAACTGATTATTTTCACTGCCTGTCAAGGCTAGATAGGAAATCCATCTATGGATGCTCTTTGTAAATCCATAAATTACAGATCTCATTTGTTTATAATAAGCTGTTTGTCAGCTGAACAGGCCTGCAAGTGTGCCATGTATCTGGATGTAAAACTTTTAGATAAGAATGGGGCTTAAAAAAAATTTCTGGAATCATTTCTGGAATCTGTTGAGTAGGTCCTTTTCTGAGTAAGTGCTTTTAGGAAAGTAATGAAGTCCTTCAAGATACAAAATGACACAACTGGTATTGGTGTTTTGATAAAAATAAATATTTGTAGAAAGGAACTATTGTGTTTGCCATGATTGGATGTCTTTGAAGGCCATTTATGATTGTGAATAATGTCCCCCTGTTACAGCACACTTATCTGGATAGTGTGTACACACACACACACTCACTCACTCAATGCACAACCATGGATTTGTTCCTGCTGAACTCTTGTTTGTCCACAGGCTCTCGTGATTGCTGGGATCTCTCTCCAGACTGCTAATTTATATGGCTACATCCACTGCAAGTTAGGAGGACCAAAAACCATCAGCAGAGTAACCTCACGGTTGTTTGGCACCACAGATGTTCCCAAGAGTGAGTATTGAGCTTCAGCCCATGGGGTAGAACAGCCAACCTGCCTCTCAGGGCTGGTGCTGGCCTTTCCTGGGTCTGAGTTCCTGCAGTGAGTCCAGGATAATCCTGATTCTCCACCAAGCCTCTCTGGCAGTGTCACAAGGAAGAGCCATAACCCCAGGTCACTTTGCTCCAGGCTTGGAAGCCTGCTGAGCTCCACAACTGAGCTGCTTCCAAGCTCCAAAAGAATGTTCTTCGCTTAAATCCATGGAGTTGCTATAATTCTAATTCCTCTGTTTAAGCAGAGCTGGAAGAGCCATCTTCAACCTTCAGGCTTCCAGCTGGCAGCTTCCTGCTTTTGTAAGAGATCCCTGTGTCCCAGGTTGTGCTTATAGCCATGTGTGCTCTGTTCCCTCAACAGGACAGAGCAGGAGAATTGCAGAAGATGGCACTGAAGATCATGGGAAGATGGGCACTAGTAACCAAATAAGGAAGAGCTAAAGGATGAGCAGTAAAAAAGTCATTAATGAAAGTTGTTGTTCTTCATGGGAAGATATTTACATAAGGCTCTTCTAGAATTATGCCTGCATGGAATAAAGTCATTTGTGTTTGAGGGTTTAACGCCTTTGTTACTTAAAAGCTTCACCAAAAAATTGCTTGTGTGAGCACAGACAGTGCTCATGGTTTACAAGGAGCACGCTGCTTTCAGAAAAGCTGTCAACTAACCTCAAACTGTTGGATTATCTTAACCAGAAATTACATGTAATGAAAATATGATGCTGATTTGTTTAACTATGGAACTACAATAAACAAAACCAAACTGCCTTTCCCTCTTGTACACAATACTGACTTTTCAGAGCTTTCAAACTACAAACACAAAGGACCTCTTCATTATTAAAAATACTGAATGTTTGTTTTTTAGTGTTCAGGCTTAGGGTCAAATAGAACAAAACAGAAGTCATGAACCATGTTCACCCACTACTTATGTATAGCTAAAAAGTTAATCTTGTTTTGATACCTGTAAAAAAATAAATAAAGCAGTGCACATGTACTGTAATACTACCCCAGCTTTCACTCTAGACAAAGATATTTTCCAATGAAAGGAGACATTTAAATGATGTTATTCTGGGAGAGGGAAGGGGCATTACAGCTCACCCTTGTGCAGCAGGCAGAACTAAGGCTGCTGCACATGCCCCAGTGTCAACCCAGCATATTTTAAATTCAACCTCCTAAGTAAAATGTGGGTTGTATTCTCACCTCTTCAACTGCTACCTTTACAGTCAGGTTATTGGTACCATGACACTGGAGGCAGAATGCACTTGATAATCCAGATGCAGACTCATTTTCACAGCTTTCTAGTGAGGGAAGAACTACAAGAATCTTCAACTTTTGGAAAAAACATAGGCAAGAGCCTTTATATTAAGAATTTATTTGCAATATACAAAAAGAATACATTCCTTTAATAAATCAAGGCATAAGTTACTTTTCTATAATTAGACATGAGCTACATTTTTGTTCCACTTACAGATTACATTATCTTTTCTTCTTGCAAATGGTGTTGTTCACAGTACTCCTGAATTCCTGCAAAGATGGAGAAAAAGTAATGTAAGTACTATTTCAGTTGTATATCAGGAGTTTGTTGCTGCTGCATCACTCCCCTGTGGTTACAAGTATCTGAAGTTGGGCCTTCCTTACACTGAAAGTAGTTTTAGGATTATTTTAAACAGCACAGCACCAGCTGTTTAGGGAGTTTTTGCAAGGGGTTTTTGTGTGATTACAGTTAGAAGTGGAGGCATTGGTCAGTCAGTTGCCTCCCACTGGGTTATGGTGAGCACCCCTCCACACCTGCTCGAGAGCCTCAGAAGGTTTCTCTGAGCACAAGGACACCCTATCTCTGAAAATGAAAGCCTGACTTCTCTGAAGTCAAATGCTGAAATCAGTTATCACATACAATTTCATTATCACTTTAGCAGCCACGGTCTTTGCACCTGCTACTTTCAGAATTGCTGAGTCCTTCTCCTGATTTTATTTTGTGGAACAGTTACACAAGCTTGTGTAACACCTTTGTGTAGTGCAGCAGTGCTCAGAACCAAGGGGATTCATTTGCACAGTGATTCTCAGACTCACTTTGAATGATATTCCTGTAAGACAGTGTAGCTGGAGACTCAGGTGCTTCAGCCAAGAAAGACTGGCCACTGTCACAACTTTTTCCTTGAAGGACAAAGAAAAAACACAGAAACAAAGCAACAGGAAAAGATGAGTTTTTCTGTTTTTTAGCCTTTATCCTGTTCCAGTTACACTTCTTCAAACAGCCACCTGCATCTATTCCTTTTAGGAAGCCCTGAAGTCAGTAACAGGACTAGAAATACAGTGTACAGCTTGACAGAGGAATAGTACTAGCAGAAACCTTCAGCTGGAAGTACTGAGCTGTTCCTTGATGTCATTAATTCATGTATTAATTGATAAGTTAGTGGGCAAAGAACCACACCTCCTCATGACCCACAAGAGAATTTGGGTGAGGTTAAAGCACTGGTTTTAATGCTTAACATCTACAAAATACTCTTCTTTGAAGTGGTTATTATTTCATTTAGTTTGCATTTGCAGGTGACTTCACCAAAGAGAAAAACATGTTGTATTTCAGATATGATTACAGAGCTGAAAAGATGTAGCATGTAATCTTAACTGATTAAGGAAAAGTAAAGGAAATTACCCCAGCACTTCCCACATTCTACACCAAGCTATAGTCATAGTTACAGTGACATTTGATTCAAAAAAACATTCTATCTAAAAGTGCTAAGAGACATCAGTGCCCGCATCAGGGTTTTGCAGCAGTAACATCAGTATAGGAGGAACAACTTGCTTTAAGTGCAGTTGCAATAAGTGACTTTACCTATCTGTGGATCCAGAGGCACTTTACCCAGGAGAGAAACACTCAAGTTCTGGCACATCTTCTCTGCACCACCAGTAGTTGGGGGAAAGATCTGAGATTCATTCTGGGACAACAAGAAAATCAGAGTTAAAATACTGCAATTCTGAGAAAAGGGCATTTTTGGAGCAATGTTTGCTATCCAAGCAACGCCAAGGAAAGAACACTGTAATACACAGCCAGCCTTACCTTACACTTGGGACACACAAAGCCACTCATGTTCTCCACCACACCTATGATGGGCAGCTTCACCTTGCGGCAGAAGTTGATCTCCTTCCGAACGTCCTGAAGTGACACTTCCTACAAATAACAGCAAACACTTGTATTTCAGCTGTTTCATGCTGAATCCACTCAGTAACCTCCAGAGAGCTACTGTATAATGAATTATTATTGCTGCCTTCATATTTTTAGGAACACAAACCTGTGCTATGAGCTCCATCAACAGAGCAGGTACAACACTTCAAGACTACTGGATGTGGTTCTGTTTTGAAATCTGACTCTAGTCAATATTCACCCACATTTGTGTTTTTTATCTCCTATGTTCATCTCATATCTTCTTTAAATGCAACTTTTTCACATTTTCATCTTACAGAAGGACCCTTGGTATTCTCCACAGAGTGAAGACAAGAACCACCAGGCTTACACTAGTTACCTTTTTTCCAATAAATTTAAAATATCTTATTCTCTCCTCAGAGTTTTTACGTATATGACTCACCTCATCCATTCTCCTGTTCCCTTCCTCCTTCACCAACTCTCTGGTATTGTCCTCAACACTTTGCTTCCTTTATGTGTTATCCTTTCTGCTGTTATAGAAATACTTCATGTCACATGCTAGTTTGACCTCCTGTTTTGTTCCAAACCAGACATGAAAACCTCTGTTTGAACTGGGGGTGGTTTCAGCTTTCCAGGGGCTGATTTCTTTTTTAAAAATGCACATGACAGAGCTGCCTACTTTGGTGGGTCACCTAGAGGTGACACGCTACTTCACAGGTGTCAGAGAGTGCACAGCTTATCATTTAAAAACAAAGCTTCTAACAAACATTCTTCTGAACATTAAGCTGTTGGTGAGTAATTACAGATGCACAATGGTGTTAAGTCTGATTCTGAAGGAGGAAATGACACACTGCATTTCCTTTCACCACACCGGTCCCAACAGCTTTTGATTGTGAGCTGCTGTGGTTTAGTGACCCATGTGGATCCCCATCCCTGACACATCCACCTAACCCACAGACCAGCTGCAGGGGCAACACAACAAAGTCATTTCCCTGAGATGCTGTACCCTCAGACTTCTGTGAAATCAACAGCCTGGAACCCAAGGGCTGCCTGGAAATGCCATGATGCTTCCCTGGTGGGCTCTGGCTCACACCTGGGGGGTCGTGACGATGACAGCGCCGTCGATGCGGGTGGCACTGAGGTACTGCACGATGGACAGGTGCTCATCCGACGTCCCCGGGGGCGTGTCCACGATCAGGTAATCCACCTCACCCCAGTCCACATCACGCAGAAACTGCTTGATCAGCCCTACAGGAAAGGACAGGAACGTGGAAGAGAAAAGTTATCTTCCTGTGTTTGACATTTCTGGGTCTTAGCTAACTACCCTAGCTACATGACTAAGCATATTTCTACACTTGAAACCTTTCAAGTATGTAAATCACTGCTGAAAACACTCAATACACACCATTCTTTTTTGGTCCTCTCCAGATGACAGCATCATCAGGACTACTAAGCAAGAATCCCACTGACATGACACCTAAGTTTTCTTCAACATACTGAAAGAGAAGTAGAGAAACATAACAGTGAAGAAAGACTACAGAAACAAACTCTGAACCCCTGTCTTACAGAAAAAGCAAATGAGGGGGAAGACATTAATGAAATAAAAGCAGAGAACTTTATCTTTTATCACAGGGCATTAAAAACTGCATCCTGTGCAACACTTACTAACTATACTAAGAATGAAAAAATGAAATTGTTACAGCAGTTTATGGAATCACTGGGGACAACAGAAGGATAAAAGTAGCTTTCAACACCAGCTGCCTTTCTAACAGCATGCACACTACAGGGGATCTTTAGACAACCAACAGTACTGCAAAATCTCTGCATATTCCAAAGATTAGTAAGGTTTGTCTTGGGTGCAATATACTTCTTGGCTGTCACAGAAGACATGACAGACTACAGCATGTTACTCCAAAATAACAAACCTGAGCAATTTATATTTATTGCCCATATTGCAAAGTCAGTAGACACAAGGTAATAAAACAATTCTAGAAATACAGTACTACTGTTTTAAAGAAATTTAACAGTCTGATCTACAAAGTCTATATCCTGATTCTATATGATATGTATCTTGATTTTATAGATCTATTCTATATTCTATAAAATCTGGAAATACATTCTATAGTGTTTTCTAGATATTCTATAGAGCATGGATATAGGTTATATAGATCTATAGAATCTGGACATGCAGCATCTGTAGATTCTATGCCCTATATCTGTAGATTCAATATTTAAGTCATTAGAAGAAGAATTAACAAGAGTATTCCCTGCTCCTCCCTCACTGTTTTTTCACTGTAGAAGATGGTGCCCAACCCAAACACACCCAATGAACTTTCTGAAACAACAGCACCAACTCACCACTGGAGACCATCCAGACCCACTCTGATGAACCTGAAAATTGAAGTGATGCACAAAAGTTGCAATAGCAACAAATGTTACACAAAACATAAACGTTAGTCAAACCTGGGCAAAGAGCTCTCCTGCCGGCAGGAACAATCCTGCTTTTGTGGGGCAGCTGAGGTAAAAATGCAAGAGCACCAGATCTCCATTAATAAGTGAATAACAACTGTTCAACCCTTACGCAAGTTTACTCATTACTTGCATTTGTAAGAAATATTCAAGGGCTGATAAAGCACATCCCACTAATACTACTCGTGTAGTAGTTTCAACTAGTCAGCATTATGTGGCTGACATGCAATGAAAGTTGGTTTGCAGAACTGCTCATCCTGAAAGCAGATGACTCTTTTGCAAAATATGTTATGTTGAACTTCTACATCTCACCTCATTTCCCTACCACTGCCCCACATTTCCCATTATGCACTCCTTTTAAAAGATCTACATCCAAAAAACCTGAATATGCTAATGAAAAACAGAGAAACCCCCCCCCCCCCCCCCCCCACGTGAACAAGATGCTTGAGCATTCACTCACCTGTTCTCCTTCTAGGCCCATAATTTTAGGAATCGACGGCCCACAGATATCTATGTCGAGCAGAGCAACCTGGAAAACAAACCAGCCAACCTGCCCCAGTGGAAACAAGGTAGCACAGGGCTGTCTCTAAAGGTAATCTCATGCAATGAAATCACTCCAGCAAGACTCATCCAGGAGAGTCAAGTGAGCAGGGACACCCGACCGGTACCTGCCCCCGCCGCCCGTCCTGCCCGTGCCCTCTGCCCACCTGCTTGGTCTCGTCCGCCGCCAGCCCGTGCGCCAGGAGGGCGCTGAAGGTGCTCTTGCCCACGCCGCCCTTCCCGGAGAGCACCAGCACCGTGTGCCGCACCGCCCGCAGCCGCGCCCGCAGCTCCGCCGCCTCCGCTGCGGAGACACCGCGGAGACACCGCGCGGTCAGCGCGCCCACACCGCGCCCCGGAGCCGGCACCGCTCCCCCGAGCCGGCACCGCTCTCCCCCGAACTCCACCGCGCCTCCTCGAGCCGGCACCGCGGCGCCCCAGGAGCTCCACCGCGCCCCCTGAACCGCCATCGCGCCCCACCCCGAGCCGGCACCGCGTCCCTCCGGTGCCGCCCCCGGACGGCCGCTGCACTCACCCGGGTCCGGCCCGGCCGCGCCGGCCGCGCACAGCCCCTGGTTGGGGCATCCCTGGCAGGCGGCCGCCCTACCCGCCTGGGCGCTGCCGGTCCCGGGGCACTCTGCAAAGGACAACGAGAGCTGGGCCGCGAGTGCCGTGAGCGGGGAGCCCGTCCCGCCCCGTACGGCCCCGCCGCTCACCCTCCGGCGCGCCCGGCGCCTCCGCCATAGCGCTGCGTCACTTCCGCCGCCGCCAGCGCTGGGGGCGGGACCTCGCGCCCGCGGTGCTCACCCGCTGCCGCCTGGGGGCGCTGCCGCCGAGGGCTCGGCTGACCCTGGGCACCAGTTAGGGATCCGGTGACACCAGTGAGGGACCGGTGACACCACGGGAATCCCCGTGACACCAGTGAGGGACCGGTGACACCACGGGAATCCCCGTGACACAGCTGAGGGAGCCAGTGGCACCACGAGAGCCCCCGTGACACCAGTGAGGGACCGGTGACATCCCGGAGCCCCGTTGACACACGAGAGCCCCCGTTTCCCCCCGGAGCTGTGTCGCGGCGGGCTCTGCCCGGCTCACCCGGCGCTGCGCACAGCCCGCGCACTGGAGCTGCCTGAGGCAGCGGCGATGGCCGGGGAAGGGCGCGGATCCGGGCCGGTACCTCAGGCCGGGTGGTCCCGGGGCCGTGCCCACCCGGCCGCTGCAGGAACCGCGCTCCAGCCTTGAGCCCGCTCCCAGCACGGCGCTGGCCGCTGCCGAGGGAAGCGTTGCACAGCAATACCTTCACTGTTGTTGCGTTCCCAGATTATGTATCGTTCCGGTAAAATCGCGCTGTTGCGGTATTTTATGGCAATTCTGAGTATATTAATTCTGTATCCTGCTGATAGACCATCTCCATTAATTGAATGGGTACATTTATTTGGAAGATTACACTGCTTTTACTTGGACAATCAACTTCTAAGCAATTAAGAAGGTCGCTGTACTTGGTACATAAAAAATAATAAAATCATTTTCCAAACCCAGGAAGTGTGCACCAGCTGGTGATGCGATCTGGACCCTATTCCTGACCACCTTATCCCAGTCGCTGCTCCCTCTCTCTTTCTCCCATAGCCGCCTGAGCACAGCCTTGTTCTCTCTTCTGCTCCTAACATCACTGCTGTAAAAAGGATATTTTCCTGATCCAAGCACAGTTGGAAGTCTCAAATACTCCCATTTCAGACCAATTAGTCACAAAACTTGTTTGCTTTAATATACAAGTGTGTAAGTTATTATTCGAGATGGTGTCACCTTGGAAATAGAAGAGTATCCGGTAATATTTGGAAAGGTACCATCACAACTTGGTAATAAATCTGTCTTTTTGAGAGAATTATACTGCAAAGTTATCTTTCTTGGGGCTCAGCACTTCAACAACTGCAAGCTTTTTAGAACAAACACTCTAGGAATTAAATAAAAAACCAAGCCAAACACAAAACCAGTAGCTGTCCACCTACTGAAGAACCAAAAGAAAACAAACCCCCAAACTAAAGCAAAACAAAAACCCCACCAAAACAAAACAAAAGCCTAGAAAAAAATCTGAAAATATGTTTAGTTATGGTCTTTGAGGAGCTTTCAAGCATATTTACCTCAGGTAAAAGCTCAAGACCACTGGATGTTTGTACAGCTCCTGCACTTACTCCTCTGTAATTACCTTCCATAGGAAACTAATGAACAAAATGCTGTTTGGAAATGGAGTCAAATGTTTAAGCAAATTCAGATGTCTGTGGTAGGGGAACTGGCCAGTAAGACATATCTGAGAAGTTTATACTGTACCTTGCCCTTGAAGAAGCTGGCTTGGTGTGAGACCACAGCCCAGTACAGCACTTCAGGTCTGTGCTTCCTGTCCAATGTATGGATTAGATTCATTGATGTCAGCAAGACTTTCCACATTTTAAACTGAGGTACGTGTCCAAATATTTTTCTTTTGGGTCCAACAGATCATTCCCCGTTCTTAAGATTATATAGAATGTTCCCTATAAAAAGCACCAAAAAGGAAAAATTAATTCCTTCCTCAGCACCCCTCTTCCTCTGAGCCAGCAAGGGCTCCTTGTGCAGGGCTCTCTGAGTGAACAACAGCCTTTAGAGCGTTTTAGGGTGGCATTTCTGCTCACCTTTGATCCAGCTCTATCCCCACATCAGGCAGACTGATGGTAATAACAGTTGAGAAGTCCATATGGCAGTATTTACCAAAAATATCAATGAATCTGCTGTCTTCCTGATGCTTTGGAAAGCAAGGCTTTGTCTTTATCCTTACTACTCTATTCTAGCCCAAGGCCTGACAGGCCTTTCTTGCTTTTGGAAGAGCCAAAGGAGATGAAGTTAAACCAAAAATTCCTTGAGAGTAAGAAAGCAGAGATGGAGCAACATATTTCCCTCTTTGTGATCAAGGTAAGCGGAAATGCTTAAACATATTTTCCAGTGATGTACAATTTGAGTTATGCTAAATGAATCTGTCCCCCAAAACACAAGAGATGGGAAACCACAACTCTGCTCTGGTCTTTTCTTTCTCACTTACAGCAGTGCTGGCATGAAGGTTCCCCCTGAACACCTCCTCCTTTTAGCATTGAGGCTTTCCCTCATGCCACACAGCTACCGGGTGTTTTCACCCTTGTGGTTGTTTGTCATTAAAATGAGAAACATTAAAAGCTGTGAGTTCAGTGAACTCACACTGGAGGCCAGTGGAGATGATGGTAGAGCAGCTCCCTCTAGCCAAAATTACAGCACTGAGCATTCTCAAGTCTCTGTAAATGCCAGCAAATTCTAACATGGCATTATAGAAAGCTAATGAAAGCAATTCGTTATTTAGCACAACAGCATTAAATGTGGTTTAGATTAAGGTCTTCCCCCTTCTCAGCATCAAAAGAGATGCACAGATGACCTAGAGCAGGATCTTTCTGACAAAACTCAGGTCCATTTTATTAATGAGAAGTGCTCTAAACTGAGGAACACATTGGACAGCATCAACTGTTACCCTGGAGTGGAAAAAGCAGCTGAGACTGAGTGGCTACTGCAGCATTTCCCTTGAGTCCTCCCTGCTGAGCACAGGCCCTCCCCTTACAGCTGAGAGTGATGTAGGAAGAAGTGGCTGCTCTGTCTCAGGGCCCTGCTTTGCCCCGGTGTCAGAGCCTCCCCCAGCAGTCACTCCGTGCTTTGCCCCGGTGTCAGAGCCTCCCCCAGCAGTCACTCCCTGCCTGCTGCCAGTGGCCGCTGGTGGAGGGCAGCAGTGGCACCTGAGCAAGGCTGTGTTCGGAGCTGCTTTCTCAGAGACAGCTGTGCTGTGCTGTCCTCACCCCCAGCTCCACTGGAGTGTCCCCTCTGGTTCTGATTTACTGTTCTGTGCCTTTCAGGTTACAACCCCACACCAAATCAAATCAAAATCCAGCTGAGGTGCAGGTAAGGGCAGTGCAGCAAACAGCACATCAGTGTCTGCCACAGACGTCATGTACTGTCGTAAAAGAGCTTGGGTTGTTGGGACCTTTGTGCATTTGGCACTGCCTTAATGTTACAGACTGACACAAAATTACAGAACTAAAATGCCCCATTTGTATGTGGTTTAAAACTGTTGATTCCCATTGGTCTCGTCAATGCAAGAGCAGTGGCAGCAGCAATAGAGGGCAGTGTCTCTGTGCTAATGCCTTGTCGGCTCCCTGAGCACTAACACAGCAGGAATCCAGCAGTGAATGCACTTCACAATCTCAAATGATAACGACTCTGTCTTGTTGGAAGGAGAAAAAATAATCGGTATGATTTTTTTACTTATGTTCTGTTTTTCATTAAAAGATCACCTGAAACGAGGGCATATCCAAAGGAAACTTGGCAAGCATTCTGCTGACTCCAGTACCACTACCTACTTTTAGGATTAGCCATGAATAAAATTATTCTCGTCAGCTCTAGTAAAAAGCAGATTAATGTGGATAAATTTTGCAGACCTTTTCCTTTCTCACCATCTAAAAAACGACATTATTCATTAAAGTTTTCCTGAAAGCCTTTGGCAGTCTGAGACCTACCTGCAGCACTCAGGAGCAGAGCAAGTGCCTTCTGCTTCAACAGACCCACATCAATAAATTACAGTCTGAAAAAGCAATGTTAAAGAACAGATCAAGTACTAAGTATTTCAGATAGTCAAGATGGAAACCTACTTAGAAATTTAATTTTCTGATGAAAAAATAAATATAATCCATCAGATCATAGAGAAGGGGAAAGAAACCCAACCCCAAATATCCTGCAGGAAATAGATTGAGATTGTCTGGTTCAGTAGCTGTGAGCAGTGCCAGCTCAGATTCAGTACACTGATTTAATACACTTTACTACTGTATCAGGCTGGTTACCTGAAGCTTCTCAGAGCAGCTGCCTAAATAAGTGTGCAGCACTTAGGAATTCCAAATCACTTAGGAAGGTCAGTATTTCAGTTTGGAGACCCTACAAATTATTGAAAAAAACACCACTGAGAAAACACCACTGACAAAACCGAAAGTAACCTTTTCTTTTTGCATCCTTTGATACTTACTCTCAGTGTTCAATTAAAATCTAGAGTAATGTGAACCGAAAAAAATAGTGACTTATCCCTGCAAAGTTTAATGTGCAGACCTAATTCTTAGCATAAAGCTTTGTACGGAGAAAGAAGACTAAATGCAGACAGATATTTGTCTCAGCCTTTCAATTTGGTGACTAAAATACATGTACTTTTCATAGAATACATTAAACACTTGGGTGAAGAGAGGGGTGATCTAGCAGGCAAAGCAAGGCATTAAAGAAGTGGTGAATTTAAGTCCAAAGACAGCAGCTTACACCACACCAGCAGTTTTGAAGCCAGGGGCTCAGGCTGCAAGTTATTGGAAATCCCTGCTGAGTGCTCCAGCTCCTGCATCATGGGCTGAATCCAGAGGAGACAATATCAGGTGCTCTCAACATGCAGGGGCCAACTCTGTCATGCTCTGAAAGGATGCAGACTTGGACTGGAGTGCACAGCTGGGGAGAGGTGGAATCATTTAATCTGAATTAACCTGAGCTTTAATAATCATGTTGCTGAAGTAGCAGATGCAAAGAACAAATTCCAAAGACAACTGAGGTAAGATTCACTAAAAGTTGGCCACTGCCTATTATCTTATAATACCCAAAGGGCATAGGAATGTTCTGTAGCACTTACATACTTCCTAGAAAAGCACCTCCTCACAAGACACACCTGTATTCCCTTCCCTGGAACTGCGTGTGGCTCACAGCCAGCCTGAGAGGAGCCTGCTCACAGACAGATGTCAGAGTTTTACAAGGAACCTCACAGCATCAGCCCAGAATCACACACTGCTTATGATTATTTGCAACTTACGTGTTTAAAGTGGAGAAAGATATCTTAGAAGTTTTTTTTTCTATTTTACATTAATTTATAATACTCCCTGGCCATTTCCTGATGTAGAAATTGTACATTAATTTTTTTGCTCTGAAACAGTGAACAAACTTTGTAAAGTGTGAAATAAAGAGGCCCACAAACAGCACATTTATCTGTTTTAGAGGAAGAAGATAACAGCTTTTGCACTTTTATTTTGCAGCAGCCAGGGAAGAGCCCAATCAACTAAAATTCATATGTTGGAAGTATATTAATTGAATTTTGAAACATATATTCTGAAGTTAACCTGAAGTTAACCTTTGTACTGACAGATAAAGTCTTGCTTTTGTCAAGCAGCAAGACTCATCTGCTACTTTCATACAGCTCCACTTAAAGTTCTATACGTTTTTCCATTAAGATTCTTTCTCTTACAGAGCAGCCTCACGTTCACTCATTTTTTCAATGCACATTTGGAAACAATAGAGTTTTCCTGCAATTCTATTTGTCATAACTAGTTTAAGATGTTTTTAGTTTATTTTTAGGGACTCTTAGGAAAGTTCAAATAACCAGCTAAATATGTGTAGGCTCACAGCACATAAATACATTTTCTTTTTCTTTCCCTCCCCTGTCTACAAAGCACAAAAGACGTAGATTTTTTTTGTGTACTTTAGCATTTATATGATCTGGCCAGCTATAGCACTTTATGACTGAGTTAGCTATCCATCTAAGCTTCTCATGGATTTAAATGTATGAACATTTGCTTCACATTTTCCATTGGTGTTTTCTATTGTTTTTAAGTGTCCCTATATAAAATAATTTCTGGCAGGAGGAAGCACAAGTGCATGGTGAGATATTAACACACAAGGAGGAATTTTGTCATGGAGTCCAGCGACAACTGAATTACAATGGAAAAACCAGTAGCTATATCATTAAATAGCAATAATCAACTACCTGGGGAAACTTGAGTATTTGTATTTGTGTAAAGAATAATTTGTTTCTATAGTATATGTGGATCAAACACATCAGAGAAGAATAAAGTCTTGTTGAGGCAGTTTCTGCTGAGTTGTTGATTAGCACATACATAGCAGAGGCACTTTACTCCTCACAAACTCCACAGTAATGGAGTTACAACAGAATTACAAAATGCTAGAGTGGAAGCAAACAGCTTATGCCAGTGAGGAGGAATTCAGGCTGGTCAGCGTTGTCTAAATAAAATGAAAATGCAATAGGTTCACTGAGAAAAACCAGAGCTGGTTAAGATCCCGGTGAAGTTACATGGTAGAAGTCCTGGTAATTCTCTGGCTCCTGACTATACATCAGAGGAACAAGAGGAAGCAGAAGGCAAGCATCAGCAAGCATCCTGGAGCACCCTTTCTTCTTTCCCCACTCCATAATAATTAGAGAAAGAAGCACTGCTAGGATTGCTTCAATAGGACAGCCTTTGGCTTAATTCTTAAATTCTACCACAGTTCTGTTCTTCCACTGGGAGTGATTATAGTGAAGGCAGCTCCTACAGTTCCTGCTCCTTCTCCTCCAATAGCAATTAGACAAAGGGTGCTGTGAGTTCAGGTTTTGTGTTTAAGAAACATCAGTCTTTCAAAGGCTGTTCTTGCACTGAGTTCTCAAGCAATGGATGCCACTTTCAGACAGGCTAGCTCCATAAAATGAGAGGAAAATCAACATAGTAATTATTTGCTATCTTGGAAGCAAAAAAGCCTGCTATTTTAATGAGGTCTGGAGCCCATTTTGGAATGAAAAATATTTTTCTGATTTGTAAAACAGCAAAATCTTTTTCAGATCAAAAAAGTCCAACCAAAACCCAACCCCAAAACAACATACTGGGACACTCCTGC